AGAATTTAGTCCAATACTTTTTCTCCAACTAGTGACAGGATCATATGGCTTTTTCCTTTCCTCTGTTAAAATGATGACTTTTGGGGGTGGATCTGCCAATGCTGAACCAACACTACCATCCCTATGATAAAACCACTTTCCATATACTGCCAGATCTGACTTCTAATAGTTTGTTTTGTTAAAACAAATTTCTATCTATGTTCATACTTTTTTCTATTATCTTTATTCAGTTTTAGGATTAGCACAATGTTGAGTTCCTAAAATGAGGGGAGAAGTGTTCCTTTTTTCTGCTTTAAATGTTTCATATAATTTATCAGTTAAAATGTATATGAGCCTGCTGTTGTCATATAGGTAGGTTTTCAAGCTAGGAATATACTTTAATTAAGCGCTACTCAAATTTTATATTTCCTCCAGAGTTAGTTTCATTAATTTGTTTTCCAATGTACTTCTTAGAAGTTGTCAAATTTATTTCAAAACAGATTTTTGTAATATGCTCTCTATATCCTTTTAAATTCTGTAAAAACTGTAGTAATGTCCTCTAAATTTTGATATTGTAATTTAAAAAATGTATAATTGATATTGTGTAATAGGAAGTAAAGGTCTAAAAGAGCAGGGGAATTGGGAAGGGTAGGGGAAAGGAAAGAAGGGAAAATAAAAAATATGAGAAAAGGAAAAAAAAGGGGAGAAAAATGTGCTGCCTATTAAATGAAATAGTATGAATACAACAGGCAAAATCTACAATGTGGAAAATTATAAGGGAAAAATAGCTCAATTTCCCTGCTGAATAAACTGCAAGGAAAAAATATAAAAAGTGAAACAACGCATTAAGAGATTTAAGAGACCCACTGAATATAATGTAGAACATGACTAAAATATGTAATATATAATAACATATTTTCCATGTGATTTCATGTAAAAATTTATATTTTTATAATATTATTTATATATTAACACAATGAGGGGGTTTTTTTTGGTACTGGGGATCGAACTGGGGTCCCTGCGCTTACAGAGCAGGTGGCGAAACCACTGAGCTAAATCCCCAGCCTGATCATGAGGAATTTAAACACTGGAAGGATTTTTAAGTATGTTAAATTCTAATAATTCTTTTAGAAATAAATACTAAGGCAGTTGTAGATGAAATAGTATAATGTCTGGATGTTATTTCAAGCTAGTAGGGTGGTGACAAGACAGGTTTAGATGAAAGAAGATTGGCCATTAAAGTAGTGACTGCTAAAGAACATGAGAAATCCATTATATAGAATTTTCTGTGACACTGTTTTAAAAATTAAAAATAACTGTTTTGGAATTCAAAAAGAAACCAACTTTCCAAGCATGTTTATATTGCTCTCATAAAAGTAAATTTGCCAGTAGCCACTTCACAAAACTTAAATATTTTTTTAAAATACAAACCTTTGTAGTATTTTATTTTCCAGGCTTTTTGGTTTTCTATATGTTTTTTCCACTCATCAAATTCAGGAATACTGTAGAAGGAAAGTTCCTGCTTATTTTTGCTTGCCTTAAATTAATTAAAAAAAAAAGTTAGTCTTTCTGCTACTCTTGAGACAGCAATACAAAAGCATAATAATGCAAATAGTACCTTTACAATGGGAGTAATAAATTCTTCAAGAAAACCATGTTTCAGAAGTGATGGCCAATTGTGATGGATGAAATTAATAAGCAGGCCTTTTATGTGAGAACCATCTTGATCCTAAATATTAGTAAAAAAAAGGCCTTATAATAATTTTGTAAAATATAGCTATTCATGTAACCAAATTTTTTAAAATACAGGAAAGAAAAAATTCCATTTGAATTTTAGAACTCTATTTCATAAAACATTAGATGACCATAATAAAAACATTGTTTCTTAAAATGCAAACAAAGAATATATTTAGTGATATACTGCATGTCTAGTCACTATAAAATAATTATCATTTTATCTGTTTTATAGTTTACCTGGGTTTCATTTTAAGAATGACTTAAAGATGGAAAATACATAAAACATGGTCATAATCCCACTTCACTGGGCAATACAAGAAGAAACTCTTTGGTCTGCTGACATAAAAATTGCAAAAATTCTATTTAAAATTAAATTATATTTTCTCTACAAATGCTTTAACTTAGAATATAAGAGACAAACATAAGGATGTGAAATTTCTTATTTCCAATTTTCAAGTTTTCTTGATCACTGTCATTTTATAATTCAGGTCCTCCTGTTCTTTGTGCACCCCAATTTATGCCATCATATACCAATATTAACCATTTGTCTATTGAGTGATCTTTTCACTTGCAGATTTCATCATTACTACTAACATGTATGCTTCATCACTATTATACAACACTGTTTTTTCAGTTTTTTGTTGTTTTTTTTTTTTGGTACCAGGGATCGAACTCGGGTCCTTCCACTTGCAAGGCAGGTGGCAGAACCACTGAGCTCAATCCCCGGCCCACAACACTGTTTTATTCTCATATTTATTGCATTTAAAAATATTTTAAATAACCAACAAAACTGGTAGCAAAAAAATTAAATAATGTAAAATGTGCTTCACATAAATGTTTATATTAAACAATATGCTTTTTCCCCTTGATGTACATTCACTTCCACTGAAGTTATCTTGGAACAACTCTCATGAAACAATTATCAAAGAGACAATCCAAAGATATGAATTTTAAATATGTGATAACTTTCAGACCAACCTGATCAGTCATAATCATAATCTTCCCATAACGTAATGTTTTTAGAGACTCTGCATCATCATAACTTTTCTTGTACTGTAGACCAACTATTTTAATAATATTGTTTATTTCTGCATTTTCCATGATCTGTGCAAAAAGGAAAAGCATTGAAAGTATTTTAGGTGTTAGAATATATGAAAAGTAGGAATTTCAGTTTAAAATCTTAGTAAAATATTAGAAACATTATAATGTGTAAGAAAAAAATATATATATATACCTGTTTATGAGAAGCTTCTCTTACATTAAGAATTTTACCCCTTAGGGGAAAGACTCCATATCTGTCTCGCCCAATTACACCTAATCCAGACACTGCCAGTGATTTGGCAGAGTCTCCTTCTGTTAATATCAGGGTACACTCCAGGGAATGTTTGCCACCTAAGAGAAGTCAAAAGTTACATATACTCTAATTCCACATTTAACTAATTAGAAAAATGAAGCCAGAAAATTTAATGATCACAATGATAGTGAAAGACTGTAACAGTCATCCTACACTATGCTCAGTTTAAATATTGAATACGCATTGTTGAATTTCTATCCCATGAACGCTAGTCATATGTGATACATATGGAATTTCAATGAAGTAAAATATTCTAAACAAAAAAATCATAGTGTGAATGAAAAATTTTTGTAACTGAATACAAGCTAAACATGACCTTTAGACTTTCCCTTTGCTATCTCTTATCATTCATATCTAGTAAGTATAAATAATATATACTAAATATATTTTACTTCTTTTCGTATATTTCAAATGCTAATTTGCTAGAGGGATAAATGCACTGCTTAAGAGTCCAATGTAATGTAACTCATTTCAATAAATACAGTTCTTTCAAAATTAAGAGGTCATTTATTTCACAGATGCTTTATCTGCTGATAAGATCAATATTTTCTTTTATATGTACTTAAAGACTTCTGATTTCTAAATGTTTAGTCAAAAATATTTTGAAATTGGCCCGGGGATTTAGCTCAGTGGTTCCGCCACCTGCCTCGAGTTAAAAGCAAAAATATTTTGAAATGTACTGAAAAATAAAAATAAGCAAGAAAAAAAATATGATCTTTAATAATTTGAATCTTACCAGCATCGTTAGCATCATCCAGTTTGGGAATACCTTTGATTTTACTATATTTTACAGATGAACATTTCTTATTCAGCTGAGTCTGAGCTTTAAATTTCACCCAGTTCAGGATACTTTCTACAATGCCACAATTAGAGGCCTAAAAGGAAAAGAAAAATCAAACTATAATGGCATACAGTAGGTAAACAAATCAAAATTTTCATATATTTAAAATTTATAGGGCTTACTATGATCCCTGGAATGTGGAAAGTTTTAAGATATTTTAATTCAAAACAATGATGATGGTGATAATACATGTTAGTAAATTTTACTTAACTACAGTAAAACTAATTCAGATAACTATATTCACATGATCTATTATATGTGAAAAAAAAGCCATTGTACTACCTGAGAAAAATTCTATTGTAATGAGTTCCACGAAGAATATTTATTGTTACTAGCAAATTTTACTCATGAATTTATTAACTGGCAAAAATTGACATTTTTAAATATCTCACTACAAAATATGCCTTGAATTTATTATGACAAAAAAAATTAACATGAAAGGAAACATTAGGATAAACTTGGGAATATGTAAATGGGCCTTATTCTTTAAATAGCTTGACAATGAGGATTTCAACATTACACATTGTTTCTACTTTCTAGTGAGTCAAGATCCTAACCCAAAAAGAAAAAAAAGTTAACCATATCCAATTCCAATGCAGTTTTTCTTTATCATCATGGGTGATTCATTTTATGTAGATGAAATCATTTTCTGGAATGTTTAGTACATAAAGAATTGAACTATGTTGCCAAATCTAAACTTACTCTACCTAGAAAGAAAAAATATAAAATCTGAAATCAAATTACTTCATCAAAAGAACTGTTATGAGGACAGAAATTTGGGGAAATACTAATATACAGCAATTTGTGCTCAGAATTTTTTATAATTAGATCCAAAAGTACTATTTTTATAGACCTTAAACTAGAACCTAAAAACAACTTTTATTTTAAATAACTTGGTAGTGAGGTTTCAACACTCATGTTTGTACTTTGTACTAAATCAGTGTGCGACAAGACGTTAACCCAAAAAGAATAAAGAAGTTAACCATTGACTTTGGTTTATTCATCTTTATATTCCAATTATATACAACAGATTACAAGGAACTAATATTAGCTGCCAAGCCCAGGTACAAATCTAAGACTATTTACTTGTATCCTCATCTTACTTTAGAAAAGTTAAGATAGCCTAAACATATATATGCAAAGTAAAATTAAATTTTAAAGTATATAGAAAACAGTACGTTTTATGTAACATTTGTTACCACAATCAAAATATATATAAAGGTAAAATTCAGTAGTTGAAGTTGAAATGAAAGTAGAAAAGATGAAACCAAGAGTTATAGAAGGACTTGCATATTTGTTAGAGGGAAATCTGAGCTTTACAGTGGCCAATGCAAAGCTAAAAAAACAGCTACATAATCCCTACTTTAATTCTTGATATACCGATCAATGATTTTATAATACAATAAAGTTATCAGACTTAAGGATCTTAGTTTATATAGTAAACATATCTATACCTACAGTTAATGTGAAGAAAGAGACTAATCACAAATAGAATAAAGTAACCAAGAGAAGTACTTAATCAACTCTCAATAATAATACTGAAAAAATCATACAGCTTTTACTCACTGCTTTAAAAAATTTTTCTGATAGTTGGCATTTGGACCCAAAACTTTTGGGCTGCAGAGTCATGTTTTCCTTAGTCTGAGAATCAAAAGTTGGATTTTCAATAAGACAATTAATAAAAACCCATATATGGTTTTTTACCTGTGGAAAACATAAAAAAAGAAAGGAAGGTCAACATCAGAATGTATTATTTAGTAAGTTGGCAAAATATATAAAGCATCATAGGCCAGGGATTTAGCTCAGTGGTTCCGCCACCTGCCTCACAAGCGCAAGGTCCCAAGTTCGATCCCTGGTACCAAAAAAAAAAAAAATTATATATATAAAGTATCACTTACTTGAAATGGTTTCACTGATACACCAGCTTTGTTCTTTTTCTTAACTACTTCAATCAGTTTACCAACAACTTGATCTACTACATAATCCACATGTCGTCCACCCTAAGGAAAAAAAATTTTTAAAGTATAGAAAACAAAATTTTCTGTAGTTAGGGTAGCCAACAACTTGGTAATCTCAGCATTATTAATCCCACTTTCTACAGAAGTAATATGAGTCTCAAATGACACAGTCGAGATTTTTTAAATAAGGTATTTTGGGCCATACCACCAATAAACCAAGTTCCACATTTTTCTCAACCTACTTCTGACACCAATTCTGAGGTGCTTTCCACCATCCACAACCAACTCTCATTCTCTAGACACCAACTGAATGATCAACAATGTAATTTAATTTTGGCACTAACTATCCAGAGTTAGTACAGACCTCTCAGGTTCAGGGCTTAGTCCCATAGGACTGTCCCCCGCCTCAGATACCAGTGCAAGTCCTGGGCCTCCCTTCCTTCCAACAAACCAATTATAACTTGGGGATTCCCATGACCTACCCAGGTTTAATAGTTTACTAGAACTCAAGAACTCAACAACACATTTTACTTTCATTTGCCAGTTTACTGTAAAATATACAAGTCATGAATAGATAACTAGAAGAGATATAAAGAGCAAATATTGAGCAGGAGTGTGCATGGAGCTTCCTCATTCTCTCCAGGCATACATTCATCAGCCTGAGACCTCTTTGAACCCTACCATTTAGATGCTTTTGACGGAGCTTTCATCATGTAGATATGATCAATTTTAAATTCAATCTCTGACCCCTCTCTTCTTCCCACAGATTAAAGGACAAGAACTGAAAGATCCTGGCCTCTAATCAAGGCTTGGTATCTGAGGGAATGTAAGGCCCCATAAAGTACTACCATGGAAGAACAAGACACTAACTGGTAGCACCCAGGAAACTCTAAGGGATTTAGGAGATTTGTGCCAGGAACTAGGGACAAAGATCAAGCCCTAAAACAAAAAGATATTTTATTTGATCCAGGGTTCCAAAAAAAAAAAAAAAAGATTCATTTTATCATCTCTAATACTCAAGAAATTTGTTTTGAGAGCTCCTTCAGGAATTGAAGACAAAAACCAAATGTGTATCTCTCTTTATGTCACACAACTCCACATAGCCAATTTTATTACAGAAACAACAGAATAAGAGATGAAATGGAAGTGAAAATGAAAATAGACATGGATGGTGATGATGAGACTCCTGTGATTTAAGCCTAGGGACTGTGGCAACAATTGTCAGCTGGCCATCTAACATTGACCCTCCTGTTACTTCATCAACAAACACAAACTTTTAAACTAGTAACATGCTCAGTTAAAAAGATTCACATGTAAGACAAACCATGTAATAGTTAAGCTTGTGTGTCTGGTTTATCTTACTTAATATTATGGTCTCAAAGCTCATTCATTTTCCTACAAATGACTCAAGTTTATCTTTTTAAAAAATATTTTATTACATGTTTGCAGTACAAAATGATTACATTTAACATGAGATACATGTACATCTTAATTATTTTTTGTTTTCTACTCTTCCTTCTTTGTTCCTTCTGGAATTAAGATGTGTTATGTACATACATGTACTAACTCCACACAAGGAATGTAAATATTATGTACTACAACATGTACAACAACAAAAAAAAACCAGGAAGAGGGTCAAGAGATGGTGGGGGAGGGAGGCAGGGAAGGGACAGGGAATGAAGAAATTAAGATGTATTATGTACATGTACCAGCTCCCCACAAGAAATGTAAACAGCATGTACTATAATCATGTACTAATTTTTTAAAACCTCTTTAAAATTCTTTTTTAAAAAACACTTGCAAACCTTGGTTCCTTTGTAACTAAAGACAGCCATCTGACCCAATTCTAGTCAATTAAATTTTACCAAAGATCTGCTGGGTAGGCCTTCTAGGGAAACTATTATATTCCTGACCAAAAGAAATTTAACTCAATCCCATTTTCCTCTCCTAGAACAAACATGGAAGGAATGTATAAGGATGTAATAGGTATCTTGAAAGTATGAGAATCAAACCACATGCTAAGGATGGCAGAAAAGAAAGCCAGAAAGATGACAGGTCCCTGATGGCAGTGTGGTACTACAATAACAGTCTAATACTACTCACTAATCCCCAGTCCCCATTTATGAGAGGAAAAAATAAAACCTGTAGATGTTTAAGTCACTTTAATTTTCTATTACACATAACAAAGTACACTCATAACTGACTTTCTGTTAACTGGAAAAAGTGATACTAGATTACATATATCAAGCATTAAAAAGACATTAAAACTTGAACAAGAGTAAAAAATCACTATTCTGGGATGTACGATTGTATTGTCCAACATGTTATTATGATCAGTAAATTTTTTTAAAATGCACTTATTGATTGATTGCAAAGCTGGGGACTGAACCTGGGACTTCAAGCATGCTATGCAACCACTCTTATGACTAAGCAGCTACATCATCAGCCTAATAAATGCTTTTAGATGAGAAGATTTCACTTAATTCTGAAATCTGAAAACTTACAGAAGACTGTTCAAACTCCTTAGAATGGCAGACACCTCAACAGACTCATTTCCTATTATTCTGTTATTACACCCTGAACTCAGACCACAGAAGAAATCTATTATTCTAAATTTCATAAAATATGTTCAATTATAAACTTATTTCTCAATAAACATATACTTATTTCTCATTAGATATTTAAATTATAAACTTATTTCTCAATAAACATATACTTATTTCTCATTAGATATTTAAATTATAAACTTATTTCTCAATAAGCATATAAACTTATTTCTCAATAGATATTTAAACTGTAACATAACCACTGTAATGAAAATAAGCTTTCATTTTCATATGTCAATTTTCACTTAAAAACAGTTTTGTTCTTATTTTATTTGTTGTTTTGTGGGGTTTTTTTGCAATAAATATGTTTAACAGTATAGATCAACAAGGGAAAAGAAATAAGCACCAGCCAATATTTGATTTTCATCCTTATCACTTTTTCTAGGGTCCTTCTAACTTGATGTAAACTTACAATTTTCAAGGAAATTCCTATTCCACTCCCATTTTATCATAAATACATTGAATAGTTTTCCTGTTTGTATGATAAAACAGGAAAGACTGTTACATTTGAATGGAAAAGGCACTCCATTTGTGATCAATGTCACACAAAATCATATTCCCATCAGAAAACACAAATATCAACATCACAAAACTAAAAATACACAGATCAATACCATTCAATAAATATGCAAGCTACTTCAGTCTCCCCCAAAAAGACCAATACTTCAAAAAACCATAAAGAAAAGCCCTGTCCATTTCCAAGTAACCCAAGTAGGAGAGACAGCATGATGCTATGCATGCTATTTTACCCCTCCCCTGGCCCTTCACTACTTAGAAAACTGCCTGCTCTCAGAGACTGAAAATGGGCCTCATTTCTTCTCTGGGGAGAACAAATTCACTGACACCCTTGTGCAATATCCCGTTTCTCAGGAACCCTGGCTCTATACCTAGTTTTGCTTCCAAAGCCTCTTCATATAGTTCTGGGTAAGACTTGGGATTTGTTCCATTAAGATGGGCCATACGAACTAGGAGTTTCATCTTGCTGGTTTCAGCGTGGGCCCTTGGACCCCACAGGAACTCATAGTGAGCAGGATCACTGCTAGGTATCTGCCGGTACATCAGGTACTCTTCCCATACTAAATTCTCAGTGATGAATTTCCAGGCTTCCTCAAAATGAATACGCTCAGACTGAGCTAACATGTCCCATCTTTTCACTTTTTGCGTTAGGTCCTCCTCACTGATACGGTTGCCCTCTATGAAGATTAGAGACAGGACGAATATAATGATGTCAATTTTGAGAATGATTCTTTCATCATCGCCATCTAGTATCCCACTGTATGTAAGACCCAAAATGGGTACTAGCTCATATGTATTGCCAGAGTAATTCACTTTCCTGATTTTAATGCCAAAGCCCAGATACATGGACTCACAGAGTTCCCAAAAGTTCAGAGGGAAGTTGTTACGGTAATCATGGGACACAACATGCATCATTTCTTTCATGGTAACCTGCTCCTTCTTTTGATACTTGAGCAGAAATGACACCAACTTACATAACTTGGCATTTAGGAGCACATTTTGCAGGGTGTGAGAGAAGTGTGCATCCTGTGAGGAGCTTGAACCCTCACAGGATTGACTCCTTTGACTGGAAGCCATGAGGACAGCAAGAACTTGTTGAGGATCTGAAGCTTTCAAATCTCCAGTGCTGGAAAACAGAGTGCTGAGCAATAGCAATTCAGCTTCTCCAAGAATCCAAACCCAGATTTTGAAAAATCACAACTGAGAATTCTCCACTGCATAGTGCAAGGCCAGAAACAGAGGCAGGAATGGGTTATTTTCAGAGTCTCAACCTGGAATGTGGCCTTCTGTTGTTTTTAATAAAGAATTATTTTATCAATGACTTGGGAACAAGGAATTTTCATACTTACTTTTGTAGTTGCAATACTATTTACAAAGCTGATTTGCTGGAATCCTTTTTCACTCAATGTAAGACAAACATCCCATCTTTCATTTGCAAGTTCATGAATAACTTTCAGGGCTACCCCAGTTTCATCCAATTTGTCTTTCACATAAAGATCTACATAACTGCGAAATCCATTTACCTATTAATTTAAAAAACAAAATCAATAAATGGTTAATTGTACACTGGCAGCACAAATAGGTGAAACCCATTAGTTACTTCTCATTTTCATCATCTTCCATTTACAACAGCTCTTATTCCACAGATCCAAGATTCCTCTTCTGCCTCTTTACTCATGCTCTTTGAAAAAGAATTTCTATGTATACTTGAGAAAGAGTATAAAAAGGAACAGCTAGACAGATAAATTACAAAATCTTTTACAATTTTAAGTTTTTAAAATGACAAAGTAGACGTCCAATGTGAGTGCAAACTTATAGAGGGCTGAAATAAAAGTTATTTCTATCCTACAAGAAAACTGATCAAACAAAGTAATGATCTTTCATGAACTCAAAGAATTGTCACAGGATAGCTGGCCATTCTGATATCTGGAGATATGGATCAGTAGAAAACCACAGAAGCTAAACAGTTGCTTACCTAAGGCAGAAATTAAATAAACTAGTAGGAACCTTCAACTAGAAATTCTAACTAACGAATATAGAAGACTATATAGACTAATATGAATGTGGGAAATTCTTAGGAGCTGCAGTCATAAGGAATTCCTATTCTTTTGCAGGTTTTTCCTCTAGGAATCCCACCAAATACACAAAAGATCTGAAACAAAAGAAAACCCCTCTCCTCCCTACAGTGCTGCCTAGCTGAGAACAGCAGCCAATGGGAAATCTACCCAGATGCATCTTCTTTCCAGAAAAGATAGGAGTGTAGTGTGTGCGAGTGTTGTATGGTATGTGCAGAGGTGGGTTGTGTGTGTTATTCTACAGTGTTCTCAAAGACAGACTGAGAACACTAATACATAATTACTGCTACTAGGAGAAAAGAAGAGAGAACAGGATGGGCACAAACACTTCTGGAGCCAAATCCATGAGACACAAGCTCACTGTGCCCTCCAAAGACAGATTTAATCAGACATTACACATAACCCCCCTACCAAGCAAACAAGGTTTCAATAACAACAGTGGGTTTTTAGCTCGAAAAGCTACAAGAAACAGACCATCTTTGAGGAAAGACAGAAACAAGGAAGAATTTGAAAGCCCCTGATATACATGGCAGACAGGAACAAATTTCACAGTCCAAATCTTGGATAGATTAAATCCCTAACTAAAATCTATTCACCTCAGTGTCTACAGCTGTATATTACATATCTAATTTTCAAAAAAACTTTCAGACATATCAAAATGCAAGAAAAAATTTTGAGAAGCAATCACAATCAGATATATCACATATGTTGAAGTATGTATCAGCCACAGCATTTAAAGTAACTATAATTTTATTACAGCCTCTAGTGCAAAAGGTAGCAATGTGTAACTTCAGCAGAAATGGAAATTAAGAATCAAATAGAAATGCTAAAAATCAACAGAAGATATGAAGAATGTCTTTGACAGGCTGAGAGTGGTAGACTGAGGCAATAGAAGAAAATAAAAATTCTCTTGAAGGGCAAGAAATTAAAGTGAAACACAAAGAAAATAAACTGAACAAAATAGGCAAAGAATTCAAGAGCTTGGAACAATACCTAATGGTAAAATTATACATATATCAGAAGAAACAGGTCAGAAGAAATATTTTAAGAAATACCTAGAACTTTACAAAATTAGTGACATATATAAAATAATAGATCCAAGAAGCTCAAAAGACACCAAGATAAATGAAAACAAAAACAATTACCACATACATAAGCATGTGATATTACAAAAGCAAACCAAAAAAATCAAGCAAATAGAAAATAATTGAGACAGCCAGAGAAAAAAGAAACCCCTTACTAAGCAAAATACAATTAAAAACATAGCAGCCTTCTAATCATGAATCATACAAGCAAAAAGACAATGCAATGACCTCATTAAAGTGCTGAGAGAAAGCCACTGTCAACTATAGTGTATCTCTAGTGAAAATATCCTTGAAAATGAAGGAAAAACAGACTTTCCAAGACAAAAGTAAAAGAAATTCATTGCCAGCTGTTCTACAAGAAATGTTAAAGGAAAATCTTCATGCAGAAGGAAATATGGTTAAGATCAGAAACTGAAACCAGGCCCAGTGGTGCATGTCTGTAGTTCTAGCTGCTCAAGGGCTGGAGCAGCAGGGCTGCTTTAACCTGGGGTTCTAGGCCAGCCTGGGCAACAAAGCAAGACCTGAAGGCAAGAAGAAAAAAAAAAAAAAGAAATCAGAAACTAAGATACACACCAACAAATTAAGAGCCTTGGAAATGGAATAAATAAATGTACAGTATAATCTTTAATTGTATTTTCTAATTGCTCTAAGAAAACTGAGTAAAGCAAAAACAATATCACTATTTTGCAATTTTTTGTGATTTTAAAAAATATTTCTCTGGGCCTGGGATTTAGCTCAGCGGTTCTGCCCCCTGCATCGCAAGCGCAAGGTCCCGAGTTCAATCCCCGGTACCAAATATATGATAGTCTATCTAAAAGTGAAATATGGCAATGACACAGGGAATTGAAGAGAGAAACTGTAGTTATACTGATACAAAATCCTTTCACTATACATGAAGTAATATATTAAAAGTGGACTCAAGTCATTTAAAAAAGTGTTTATTGTAAACCCCATGGAATCTGCTAAAAAGGATTTTGAAAATAGTCAACAGAGAAGATAGTTTGATTTTTAAATGCTCAATTAAAATCAGAAAAGATGGAATAAGAGGACCAACAAACAAACAAAACAAACACAAGGGCCAGGGATTTAGCTCAGTGGTTCAGGCGCCTGCCTTGCAAGTGCAAGGTTCCGAGTTCAATTCCCAGTACCAAAAAAAAAAAAAAAAAACAGGAGGAATACAGTATAAATCAGTTAGCAAGATAACAGATTTAATACAAACATCAACAATTACTTTAAATGAGAATAATCCAAACACAAAAATTTAAAGAGAATATCAGATTATATTTCAAATGTAAGATCCAACTATATCTTGTCTACAAAATAACATTGTTCTGAACTATTTTAGAAAACACTTACTGGCAATTTCTTTCCATTAAACATAACTTTAACCCCTTTACATGAACCAGCCAAATCATATGCTCTTCTGGTCATGAGGGCCACAATATCCTTGTCAAGTTTTTCCATCTTAAATTTAGACAGATCTGGTTGGAATGTTATGCATGTGTAATCTTCACCATCAAAATGTTTAATTTTGGCTTCAGAAGTCTTCATCATATTATTCATCCATGTCTTTAAAAAGAAAAAAATACTCATGTATTTCTACCATGCTTCTACGTTTCATAATACACAAAAACAATTCTGAGTCTTTAATGAACTATAAATATATATATAATATATATTCTATTTTCACAACAAACCAAACAAATCCTTAAATCTGAAAATAGAAAAAATTTGTGGCTTATTACCATTTTTAAAACCTCATGCTGAAAATAAATTGTACTTTATATACTGGAAGTAAAACATCTTTCAAATTCTTCAACATATCATATAGAGCTTTATAAAAATAAAAAGGAATGATGTTCTTTCTGGCAAATCTATTTTAGCTTACAGAAAATTTCAAACTATTTTCAGAGATCTGCCAACATTTTTAAATATGAATTTAATGATTCAATAAGAAATTTTTCAAACATGGAAAGTGGTTGCATTTAAATGACTCTATAAGATTTCGAAGATTTTTACTAATACTTGACTAAAAATGTCAAACAAACCATTTTGCTTTAAAGGAATGAGAGGTAGGTTTAATAAAATCTCCCGAGCACTGTGGTATCTCCTTACTCTTGTAACTTATTAAATCCTTAACAACAAACAAAAAGTCATACAGGTATAATGTACATAAGATTCTATTATTCCAGCAAAAATTAAACATTATTTTAAAAAAAGAAAGACATGATTCTCTCATACCTGTTTAAAACTATGTTTGTATTCTTTGCAAGCTGTTTCTACTGTAAACTTTGTACTGAAAATATTACAAAGTTTTGCACCATAACCATTGCGGCCACCTATAAAACAAATAAATGTGAAAGATGTAGTGAAAATGATTTTAAAGAAACTTTGTTAATTTGTCTACCACAGGGCAAGTCTGTCACAAAAAGTTCTACTTACTGCATTATCTTATCAGTTTTTGATTGAGTATTCCTGAGTATATTTAGATTTTTTTAACGAAAGATAAGATTTAACACATATAGGCATAATTAAAACAGATTTTATAAATCTAGTACCTTTACTATAATTTAAATAAAATTTAAACTTGGTAGCTCTCAAGACTCAGTAAGTCTATGGGAGTATGAAATTTGAACTTTCTATCAATCTCTTCTCTATATCATTTGCCAGAGCCTTGGTTTGTAAAAGAAACCATCACCCTACTTCAGCAACAAAATAAAATAGGAAAACATTTGATTTTGGTCAAAGCAGTTTCAACTTTATTTACAGAGCTCAGATTTTCAATCTTGAAGAGTTTAAAAGTAATTTTACTAAAAAGCATGTGCTTATGTAATAACACATTTGTACACTACACATTTCACAGTAGTCTCAACTTAGAATTCAAACTGTTAACCAGGATAGAGTTCCACCAGTTCTCACATAAATAAATGTATTATCAGGCTTTAAAATGTTACCATCAGACTATATAATCAAGACAATACATATGACAATTTTTTATAAATTCTGAAAAAGATTTTCTAAGAAAATTATATAGTCTCTATTGTAATAGTTTACATAAAAATAGAGTTCATATTAAGAAAATTATTTTTCAATCAAAATTCCACTCAGTCTTTACCTGTAACTTTTTTTTCATCATCATCATAGTTACTGGATGTTAAAAGCTGTCCAAATATTAAAGCTGGAACATAAACTTTCTCTACTTTGTGTTCTACTACTGGAATGCCTTTTCCATTATTCCAAATGCTTATAATATTAGATTCACTGTAAATAAACAAGTAGAAGTTACAGTTTAAAACTAAACATACTTTAATTTCCATAAAAAAGTAAAGTTACCCAGAATAAACCTGAACAATTATAAGCAAGACACTAGCCATTATCAAATGGAAGACACTGACTTATCTCTCAAGAAAATACTTGGTGAGTACATGTATTTCAATCTGAGCCATAACTCAGACTAGGATCACTAAGATCTGCCAAGCAATGATACAAAATTTCTCAGGAGAATAAACTCTTCTCAACCTCCCAGGAAAAAAGAACCACTTATAAGAAATCAACTACAGATTCAGTTTTCTTTTCATATGCACTAATCATGATTTTCCTGCTTGATTCTATTGATGTATGACAAGTTCTGCAGAGCTAGGGGCTGTTACCATTTTCACTTCCTAACTGTTGCATTAGTACAGATGAAAAAGGGACAAACAGCCTAAAATGAGTGTCAGTCTCAACCTAAATGTTAGATGTTGTTTGTCATGCCAATCATTGTCATAAATGAATTTTAATGATTTTTAAATATATAGATATTGCCTATTTTAGATCTTTTAAGTTTTCTACATCAAAATCATCAATTTTAACTCCTGGAAGTATGAGGTAGAGGCTCCTGCAGGTAACAGCAACCTGACTTACAGTGGCAGTAGTCTCCATGAAAAATTTCACCTACCATATTGATCTCAGTAGTATGATACTTTTATCCTCTTAAGAATCAAAGAAACAAGAGTTTCATAGCCAATACTAAGATTCATCTTAAAAGGTCATCATTTGCCAGCATGATTCACAATTATTCTTAGGCACACTGTTTCACTTACACATACCTTAGTCTCTTAAGAGTTATTAGAAGTAGTTATTATACCAAAAAATTAAATTATAAAAATTAAAATAAAAGATTTATGGAATAATTAAATCAAATGTTAAATGAAATTTTTAACACATCATCATCCCTCCCCAAACCAGCAACCACCTTTTCCTTTCCTCTATTTTTTTTTTTTTGTTTTTTTTTTTGGTACTGGGGATAGAACTCAGGTCCTTGCGCTTGTGCAGCAGGCGGCAAAACCACTGAGCTAAATCCCCGGCCCTTTTTCCTTTCTTTTAATGCCCACAAAGCTTCCCTTTTCTTTCTTTGCTAGGTTCACATTTCAATGCCATTTTTTATTCTTATCTCTTAATCATTCTCTAGAATTATGAGTCATCAAATCATATTAGTTTATTCTACTGAATTTGTTTCATAGCAGTATCACTTCTTTAATTCCAAATGCCAATGTATAAGCGCAGACAAAACTAGTATCACCTTACACATAGATTAGTGATAAAAGTCCCTTTGTTAGTCACTCTACTTAAATATATTTTACATAAATATAATGGACTTAACCCAGCTTTCATAATACCATTTATTTTTTGCTCTAGAACACAGCAGTAGCTCCATACTTTTAGTAAAATCAAGCTTAAAAGTCCTTTAATACATATCAAAGGCCCACTATCCATATTCCTAATTGTAGCCACATACAATTCCCAGTATTGTATATCATGAATCCTGTTTTTCCTTCAGCTGTTTTATTACTTATCCATGTTCATTACTAATTCTTCCATTTCTTTGTTCATTGGTCTTTCCCTTGTTCATGATGTGTTTTTCTTCTTTCCTTTGTCTACCCTAATTTCATTCAAGCTTCAAGGATCAGCTTATGACTTCAGTTCTCCCTAAATTTTTAACAATGTTTTCCAATCTTTATATTGAGGCTAGCAAAAGTCTAAATTATTTACTGGGGACTTCATGAGAGAATTAGGTTTTCTTGCAAGTAGATAAAGTCTCTTAAGAATACACAACTGAACATTTAAATACACAACCATTTCAAACTGCCTACTGAAATGTGTGTCCTAACTCTAGAGGTAAAAATAGCGGACCTTAGAAGCAAAGGCCATTCATTGCACTACTTTTTAAGACTTCCAGATTTTAAACTTCCAGATTCCCCTGCTTTTCAGACTTCCTAGCTTGAGCTTACCTATAATTTATTAAGCACCTATTTTCTATAAAAACATCATGGACTATAAAACTAATAAAGAAGAATTATAAAAGAAATAAAATAAATAAATGAAAAATTATAATTTTTTTGGTGTAATTTTTTTTGGGTACCAGGGATTGAACTCAGGACCTTGCGCTTGTGAGGCAGGCGGCACGACACCACTGAGCTAAATCCCCAGCCCCGGAAAATTATAAATTTTAAATGTCTCAAAATGATACAAAAGGCACTATAAATTAAAAAAAACTTAAGAAATGTTTTATCTTGTTTAGGATACATTGTACTATAATCAAGCACTAGCTCCATCACAGTTTCAAGTATAAAGCTTGACATCTCTGACATGTATGAAAGGGAAACTTTCCATTATAGTCACCTCTATTAAAAAATTTCAATATGTATCACTTCCTAGATCCAATATTTTTTTCTGGACCTCTAAAATTGTATTCCATATTCTGCAACTGTATTCTTTGTTCCTTTAATAATCTTTAAAGAAATAATTTTCACAGAAATATGAATAAGGATACTGTTTTGAAATGCTACAAAGTTTGAAAAATAATCAAAACTGAAAAGAAATACTGAAATATTGAAAATATTGAAAAATACCCAATATCCATCAACTAAAGAGATTAAACAGGTTAAATTGTCATAATAATTTATTTCCATCAATACTAGACAATAGTTTAAAAAGAATTAAGATTTATATAAATGAATGAGGATCTATGTTAAGTGTTCAAAATACAACAGAAATAAGTGTATATACTGTGATCCTGTTTAAAAAAAAATCTACATGCATGAATCTGTATTATTACTTGAAAGCTAGTTTCAAAGTTTTAATTCCAAATAAATGAGAATACTTAGGCTAGTGAAGCAGAACTCAGTTTAAATGTGCTTCCCATATATGTGTCTTTCGTTGTTGTGCTAAGGACTAAACCCAGGTCCTCAAGTACACTAAGTACTTCCTTGACCACTCAGCTGCACCCCTAGCCCTGTTTGGATTTAATCATATGCCAGCAAATGAACTGTTTCAATACTAACCATTATCTTACATTACTTAATGAATTTTCGACACCCCATAAAAAATTGCTCCAAATTCTCTTTTAGAAGGATATCCAAATTCTTCATGGTATGCCTTGCTAGTCTATTTATACACCTTTTATAATGACTTTACTTCTATTTTATATCTATGCCAAAGAATACTATGAAATAAAACAAAGGCTAACCCAAACTGTATAGCTCTTAAAATTTAACCTCTTCTTCATGCAAGATGTTTATGTACACACATGCACAAAGAAGAAAAAAACTGCTGTACAAAAATGTTGAAAGTCAAAAGATAACTAAAGAAAAAATAGTAGAGAAAATGAAGTAATTGAATGAAATACATAAAAGCACATTTTCCCTTTTGAATTCTGCTTTAAAATAATGTCTTAAATTAGAAATCTAAATTATGCAGAAATTAAATAATTCTGAAATGCAATTAATTTCATTACATAACACTAAACCACTGTGGTATATGTAGTAAAAAATAAATAAATAAATAAGGGCCAGGGATTTAGCTCAGTGGTTCCGCTGCCTGCCTCACAAGCAAAAGGTCCTGAGTTCGATCCCCAGTACCAAAAAAAAAAGAATGAGTTTATGGGAAGAAATTCAATAAAGTTAAAGTATTACAGTGAAAATTTAAAAAAGATCTGCAATTTCTCACAAAATGTTTGCTGATTACAAATTTTAAATACATGTAAAATTCAGGGAAAGAAAAGACTCAATAACTTTTCATCAGTGACTTATAAACAACAAAAAATAAACTATGAAAATATACATCATATCTCCATCCTTTTCTCCTTAGAAGAGCTAACAATTTTTGTTGTATGTCAAAATAATTTTCCAGCTGAGAGTTAAAATGAGGTGGAGATAAATTTTTAAAAAGAACCTGATATCTGATCGCCATTAAGTACCAAATAAGTTTAGTTACAATTCTATCTCTCTGTCATCCTTTCATATATATGTTTATCTTTAAAACATAACCATAGTGAAATCTAAGTAGCTAAACAACTGGTATATATTCTATAATACCAAAAGTATATAATTTATTAAACCATGTCATAAATGGAAAATCCAAAGGACAATTATAAAAAATAAATTTAACTCATAACATACACAGAATAACACTAATAGCCCTTAGTCTTAACTCTTGAAGAAGGAAAGATAGAGTGACTATATTCTAGCCACTTAAATCGCATCAACAGCATCAAAGAAAAATAGTATCCAACAGCTCCTAAAAGAAGTATTTTGGGGGGAAAACTTATAAAATGATGAAGAAAGGCAAAACTGAAGTCTGAAGCAACAGGGAAACAATAATGTACTAACCATATTCATTATACCTTTGAGAACTATTCATACATTAGGGATTACTTAAAGAAAAAATAACTTTAAAAAATTTAAATTTGAATATACTTACGGATCAATAGAAATCTTAATACAGGTCATATTCTTATCCCTCTGCTTATTGTCAGCAGCGTTAACTGCAAAATTAGATATCTCAATGAGTAATATACAGTTATATAGACAAATTATGGACACAACTGTACTGCACTAACATAAACATCTACATACAGTAATAGTTAATGCAAATATCTTCTAATTTCTAAAAATTCTTACTTTCTAAATAAAACTGTTAACTTTTAATCATACCAAATTATTGCCATGTTTTCCACCACAAAAAGGGGGGGGGTGTTTTAGTGGCATATAAAAACAAATAAGGGGTGGGGCTATAACTCAGTGGTAGAGTGCTTACCTGAGTTCAACCCCAGCATCAAAAAACACAAACAACAGAACTAAATCCCTTAATTGAAGTCTGATGTAAAAAATTTGGTTTAATTATATTTTAACTTGATAACAAATACTTTCCCTCAATCTCCTTCCATATACTAGTGATTTTATATGTGGATTCGACTGAAACCAACCAGTTATTTTTTTTTCCTTAAACTCTTTTATTGGTACATTTTAAGTATACAATACATTTGCATTTAGCATTGGGTGCTTGTACCTGTACATGATGTATCCTGGTTTTCATTTTTTTTCATTACCTGTGCACCCCTCATCCCCTCCACCCTTCCCTATTTACATTTACTTCAGTTCCAGTTTTTTCTCTTTCCTCATAATTTTTCCTTTCCCTTCTTTCCTTTCCCCTTCCCCTCCCTCCACCCCTACACCTTTGTACCTTTTCGTATTTCAAAGTATCAATTATTCATTATTAATCATTTTAATGCTTATTTACACTTTAAGTTTCTCACACTAGAGAAACTTTTGTATTTACACATCTGTGTCCTATTTATTTCACTTAAGAGTATGGCCTCAATGAGCATCCATTTAGCTATAAATGACTCTATATTTCTCCTTCTTTATGGCTGAGTAGTACTACTCTATTTTATTGAAAAAAAACACACCTTCTTTATCCAGTTTCCAGTTGATGGGCACTTGGGCTGTTTCCAAGCTTTAGCTATTACAAACTGTGCC